CCGCAATGAAGAGAAGTCAGTGGTAATGTGACTAGGATGTGTGTGTGGAAGATACTCTAGTTTATTTCTTGACTTCTCTGCAGAGCCAGTCATTTCCAGATTTCCTGAGGACAAACATGCTATGGAGGGAGAGAGAGTTGTGTTTAGGGTCAAAGTGAGTGGAGTACCCCACCCCAAACTGACGTGGTACCACAACGGAGTAGAGGTGGCGGCGGACTACTCCAGGGAGCTGGGGGAGGACGGGACTCTGTCAATGCCTTCTGCTGAGAGCAAGCACAGCGGAGTCTACAAGCTCCTGGCCGTCAACAGAGCCGGGAGCATGGAGAAAGAGGTGAAGCTGTTTGTGAAGAGAGAGGGAGAGCCTTCGCCATTTGTGGCCAGGAAACAGATCAGCTTCTCTCCAATTCTCGTGGACAACTTTGGTCAGTACGTGGCCAGTGGTCATGACAACGACAACCGAGTCTTCAGGGACCAGTATACCGTGAGTCACCAGATCAGAGAGAGAGGGGGTATAGTGTGTGAGTGTGTGTCTGTCTTCCCAGGAACTGGATAGGGATGCAGACCATCCAAAGACCATTGGGACAAGTCAAGAACTGAAGCTCCTCAACAGATTTGGCAACATCACCGTCTGTAGGTTTTCATGAGTCCCAACTACCAAACCTTCATTTGGGCTCTCTTTCTCTCTTTCAGATGACAACAACAGGATTGCCCTGAGGCCAATTGAAGGCCATGCAGACTGCCAGAGAGACTTTATCAACGCCTGCTATGTGGATGTAGGTCATCTCTTTCCACACAATGCCATACTCACTGACCCCCCCACACACACACACCACCACCAGGGCTACAAGTTCAGAAACAAATTCATTGCCACTCAAGGTATTTCCAGTTTCCTGTTTGTAGAGGAATAGCTGCCTCGTGATTTCCCCACTTACTACACATCTCTACACAATGGTTCCACTCCTCCCCAGGTCCCCTACCAAAGACAGTGGTTGACTTCTGGAGGCTGGTCTGGCAGGAGAAACCCCCCACCATTGTCATGGTGACCAACCTGAAGGAGGGGACCAAGATCAAGTGTCAGCAGTACTGGCCCGCGAGCGGGACAAGAAACTTTGGACCGTTCCAAGTCACCATCTCCGAGGAGCAGACTCTGGCTGACTACACCACACGAACTCTGCTGTACAGGTATGTATGTGTAGAGTGACAATTTCTGCATTCTTCAAGGTAGACCTCATTCTAGTATTAGCCTCCAAGGGGCTGTCAGCAACAATGCAACTAGGGGAGTATATTATAGTAGGATGGTTTCCTGGATTGGTCATAGTGTGTTCGTACTCTTCCTGCTTCGATTCATTACTGGAAAATCTGATCACTGCAGCTGAAGGGAAGTTCAGAGCGTGCACTGAAGGTGACCCAGTTCCACTTCACAGCCTGGCCTGACCACGGAGTGCCCGACTATGCCACACCCATCCTGGCCTTCCACAAGAAGATCAGGAAACAGCACAGGCCGTCTAAAGGCCCACTCTTAGTCCACTGCAGGTACACAACGTGCGGCATTTCGCAGTTATGCTATCCAAGAGTATATTGAAACTTCTGTGTGTGTGTGTGCCCAGTGCTGGAGTGGGTAGGACGGGGACACTCATCACCATAGACAGAGTCCTGGATCAGATCGCAAAGGAAAAGATGGTGGATGTTGCGGGGGTCGTCCAACACCTCAGAGGACAGAGGATGAAGATGGTGCAGAACCCAGTGAGTGGTCATCATTCCAAACACCACACACTGTAGCCTACAGCCAGTTTCTGTTTCCATTCAGAAGCACTCAAGTGCATTGTTGGTGGTTTTGATAAGGGTATACCTTTACTCCCTAATGGTCCATAATTGGAGTCATTGCGTGACACTGAACACCCCCCAAACTCCATTCCCCTAGGAACAATACATCTTCATCCACGATGCTATTCTTGAGGCAGTCACCTGTGGAGACACTCAGATTGGAGCCAGTGACCTGCGGAGGAGCATACAGATCCTCAGTAGGAGGGACCCTAAAACCAGTATGACTGGTTTTGAGAGCCAGTTCAAGGCAAGTTTTAGGACCTTCAGATACACATGGCAGCAAATGTAATGTTGTGGTGGTTGTAAATAATCTCTGGAGAGATGAACAGCACACGAGCCCCGAAAAGGTTTAGGTCAACACACCTTTCCGTTCCTCCCCGCAGCTCAGTTTATTTAGTTAGTGTGTCAAAACCCACTCCACCTCCACTCACCTGAGACATACTGAAACTGAGGTATTAGTAAATTGTGCTGTCGCAGCTGCCACCACGAGGTTTCTCTTGCCATCTCCCACACCAGGTCCTGGAGCAGGTGTCTCCTCGGCCGGACCAGGTGCCCAGGGAAAAGGCTCTGGACAATCCCACAAAGAACCGCAGCGACGATTTCTTGCCAGGTAAGAGAGAGAGGGGGTGGTGTTTATGGACCACTGTGTGGGTTGCTCTGCCGTGCAGGTGATCGCTGGAGAGTGGTTCTGAAAGGAGAGACGGAAGACTATATACATGCTGTGGCTGTGAATGTGAGTGGAATGCAGATTCTAAGGCTGCAGTTGTTTCCAATGTGCATACCCACAACAACACCCTCTCTCTTTCATCCCATACCCTCCCAGGGCTACAAGCAGCAGAGAGCCTTCATCATAGCTCAGAGTCCCATGCAGTCCACTGCCAGAGATTTCTGGAAGACGGTCTATGACAGGAAGTGTGGAGTGTTGGTGATGCTGTGTGACCTGGTGGAGAGTGGGAAGGTGGGATTCGGTTCATAATGTGTATAATGTATTGCATTCCAGGGAGTTAATGGGGCACCTACAAACATTCCCCATGTTAAACTGCCTGAATTGAGAAATCTGAATGGTGGTATTATAACAGTGTGTGTGTTGATTGTAGGATGTGTGCTACAAGTACTGGCCCAGCTCTGGGGTCCAGCAGGTGGGAGAGTACACTATTGACATGCTGGGAGAGGAAAAGTTGGAGGGATTTACCATAAGAACCTTCGGAGTCCTCCACAAGAAGGTAGTTACGACCTCTCACATCAGTTCAAAACTACACCCTCTCTCTCTCTGAATCATCACACATGACAGTCCATGGCAACTGTATATCACCGAGAACCCCTATCTTAGATTTGTGTGGTTTATACTCCTTCTCTGCCTCAGACGAACAAGAGTCACCAGGTGCAGCAGATCCACATTCAGGGCTGGAGACCAGACGGTCAGTGCTCCAACCTGGGTACCATCACAGCTGTCATCGGAGAGGTGACCAAGATACAGCAGAGGACTGGGAACAACCCCATACTCGTACACTGCAGGTCAGCCTTCCTTCTGTACAAATACAAACCTTTCCTACTTGTGATTTTCAAAGGCCTAATACACTATGTTCTCCCCTCCTCTTTTAGTATCGAGTGTTTTAGACAATTATAAATCTCTCCTGTGTCCAGTGATACAGCAAGCAGGTCGGGGATGTTCTGTGCCATAGCCACCACCATTGAGAGGTGTAAGACAGAGGGAGTGGTGGATGTGTTCCAGGTGGTCAAGGCTCTCCGTGTACAGAAACCTGGAGCTGTACGCACTGTGGTACGTCACCTAACACATCAACTATCCAATCTCACATTCCTTTCCCTCTCGTTCTCTAGGCGCAGTACCACACGCTATTTGAAACAGTGCTAGTGTATCTCGATTCATTCGACACATATGGAAACTTCCAGGATATTTGAACACTCCCTCCACCTTGCGACATCCGTGTAACTGTCATGTGTGAACTATCATAATTTTACTGTGTGAACTTTTACACTATAACTAGTATTTTTATATTTGCTATTTTGTTTGATAAGTGGATTAGTGGCAGTGTAACATCAGAGTATGGAACCATATGAGAACATGTCAAAGTCTTCCTGGTATCGCTGCACCAACTGGCCTATCCAGGCTGGGCTGATCTGTCTGAACAGACTCTGCATGTATTGTGTCGATATGTGGTCCCAGGCGTCACGAGGGAGCGAGGGGACCCTTCGCAGCAGCCGTGCTTCTCTGAGAAGTTCATTAGAGTCTGCAGCCAGCATCTCGTAGTGCAAGAGGTAGTCGGTACCCACCTGGCACGGGGTTATTGAGATCGTGCTCACCAATGACGATCTGAACGAAATAAAGGTCCTTGAAGGCATGGCTACCGATGGAAAGAACGAGAAATGGCAACGAGAAATGCCAACGAGAAATGCCAACCAGAACCAAGACCAATACCAGGTAATACACAGCACATCATTCATCTTAACCCCGTGTGGACTGTGATTATGTGCTTGCATAGGGTCTGTACAATGGAGACGAAAAGTCGACAACAACCCAGACAACAAACCCAAGAACCGGTTCATAAACATCTTTAGACGTCGGCAGATTCAAATTGACCAATCAGATTGCGTAAAACGTGGATTCTAAATATAGGTTTAGATGCGAGTCCAGGAAACTACGCGGGATCAACTGGAGATCCACAGAGAGCCTCGGGGGCCCTGAGCTATCGATGTTCGGAGAGACTATCCGCGACTGGCTTGAAGAACCAGATAACGATGAGGCTGAGCCTGTGTCTCTTCTCCTAGCAGCGAGCGACGACTACGAGTCCTCACAAGACCCAGCCAAACAGCCAAGTTGCCAGCCACTCCCACTCCCGCTTTCCTCCTACAAAGAGCGATGGCAACGCATGGCTAAACGCGCGTTGGAGAAATGGCGACAGGCTTCGATATCTTCGGAGAGACGCGAACTGCTCTTGCCACTTTCAACTTTCAACTCCAGAGAGTAAAAACGGTGAAGTACGCGTGCGCATGCGCGATAATTAGAGTCCGGCGGACTCGAATTCCCCTAATTCCGGACTCCACGCGAATTAGAGTCCGCTCACGAGTTTTTTTCGCAGCGCATAATTTCGAGGCTGGTGCAACGCCCCATTTCCGAAGTTACCCCCATTTACCTTACTGGCCTGACGAAGACTCTGCTAGATTCGGTCCGTTTGAGGTGTCACTCATTGACCAGCAGGCTCTAGCTGACTACACGGTTCGCACCCTCATTGTCCAGGTATAATATTGTATGTCAGCTGTACACTAGCTGGTAGTAGTGTTAGTGGTCTGGGTAATGCACATTACTGCTTCAATGTAAAGTGCAAACCCTGGCGTACTGCGCGTCCGCGGTGGTGCTCATGGCGCTCAGATAAACCAGCAAAATGGCGAACGTCTCCTCATAAAACTTCGTCTGTTTTATGGACATGAGGTATCGTTTCGCTCTACCCTCTGTGTTCCAGTGTCATTGACCAGCAGTCAGAAAATATGGCTGTCATTTGCCGAGATTACGAGTCATCGACCCAAGTTCAGCTGTCCAGCAGAGCGTGGGCTCTATCTGGTCGCCAGGTGCCAGATTATGAGTCAGAGCGGGGGCTTTATCGTATTTCCGATTATCTGGACTGGAACTTCAGATTTCATGTTTATACTTTGACTGTTTGCATATGCCCCTCGGGTCCTGCAAACTGAACTTTGAACTTTTGAATGGACGGGCTGGGCCTATTAGTATGCGTTTACCCGCGGTCTCCCGCTAGTAGCTCGCGGAGAGTCTGACACGGGTTAGCTACGGTAGTAGATAGCATGCCGGAGTCGACAAACGCCCTTCGCTGTGGCTTCTTGTGCCTCCAAGGTAAACAGAACAAGCGGATCAGGTCGATGTGAGCCAGCATACCGCGCGTGTAATTATGCATGCGCACAGCTTATTGATGGGTTGGGCCACGCAACGCGGTCAGCGACCGCGCCAGTTTGTCGCTCTCGAACACAGTCGTTTCAGGAAAATCGCCCTTTTCTTTTTCAGGCTCGTGTAATTCTGAAGCTGCTGGTATCGCTAATGGGCCTCTTCGTAGCCTGTAGTGCCAGAATAAGCGTCGACACACACACAGACAGACAGACAGTACAGTAGACGAACGACTACCGTAAAACCCTCGCTGCGCATGCGCGCCGAGGGTTAATTAGTGGAGAGCTCTCAAGTATTTCATTGTGAAAGCATTACTAATGACTCATTATTAAGTGGGAGTGGAGCTATGTGAACATGAGTAATGAGGCAAGCATTCCTCTCAAGGCTGCGAAGGAAAATTAATTCCCCCTCCACCCCTTCTCCCTCTCCTCTCCAGCTGGTGGGCAGTTCCCGGAGCTCACTTCGAGTCACCCACTTCCACTTCACAGCCTGGCCTGACCACGGAGTGCCCGACTATGCCACGCCCATCCTGGCCTTCCACAAGAGGGTGGTGAAGGAACACCCGACTGGCAAGGGACCTATTATGGTCCACTGCAGGTAGAACTCCAATACACTTAGAGAAAACTGAGGTATATAGAATTATTCGTCGTCCAGAGCTCTGCATCTTTTCCCCCAGCATCATTTGTGAAATTGACATCTATAAAGAACTCCCTTTATACATACAAGCTAAACGTTAAGATATTTGATGTTTTAACTCTCCTCCCTCTTATTTCCCTGTGTGCAGTGCTGGAGTGGGCAGGACAGGGACATTCATCACCATAGACCATGTTCTGGAGCAGCTTGGCAAGGAGAATGTGGTGGACATTCCTGGAGTCATCAACAAGATCCGCCACCAGAGGATGAAGCTGGTCCAGACTGTGGTAAGTGTATACTTGCTAGGACACCCACCAAGGAACAACTATAGATTTTAATAAAAATACTGTCAGTTCCCTGCACTTTCTCTGTAAACGGAAAGATGAAGCGGCTTTGTTTTCCAGACAGTTGAACACCTTTCTCCAAACATGCACACGCAGGACCAGTACATCTTTATCCACAATGCCATCTTGGAGTCTGTGACGTGTGGAGACACCCAGATTGCCTCCAGCGACCTGCGACGGGCCATTCAACAGATGGGAGACAAGGGATTCGCCCACCAGTTCGCCGTTCGTCCGTCCTTCCTTTCTCTTTCCCCCCTCTTCCTCTCTTTCACATATTAGTGAGAGCTGTAATATGTCTGCTTGTTGTGCAGGTGCTGGAGCAGATGAGTCAAAGACCCGATGAGGTCACTGCCAACTTTGCTGCCAGAAACCCTGACAGAAATCGCTCACAGGAATTCCTGCCAGGTAATGAATGATACAGCAATGCAGTGGAGACCTCTCAACTATTATGTACCTAATGTGACCTATTATTAATATAATATCCCCAGCTGACAAGTGGAGAGTGGCTCTGAGAGGAGACCATCCTGACTACATCAATGCCGTTTTCATCAACGTAAGCAACCGTAACCTTAATTCATGTAAAATTGCTAGGAATGAACTTGTTTGTGTCGTTGCTGCAAAACCTCCCAGGGCTACAAGCAGCAGAGAGCTTCATCATAGCTCAGAGTCCCATGCAGTCCACTGCCAGAGATTTCTGGAAGATGGTCTATGACAGGAAGTGTGGAGTGGTGGTGATGCTGTGTGCAGACCTGGTGGAGAGTGGGAAGGTGGGAGGCCATACAACAGTATTGTTGTGGTGTTCATGGCATGTGTGTGTGTGCAGGAGACATGCTACCAGTACTGGCCTTCCAGTGGCACCCTCACAGTTGGAGAGTTCAAAGTTGATCTTCTGGGAGAAGAGTTGATGGACAACTCTGTTCTCAAGACCCTCTCTGTCACTCACTCTGAGGTTCGTGACCCCATAAAACCACCCAGTGAAAAATTTGAGTCTTTCGCCCATTTTTCTCTATGCTACAAAGGATCTTTTAGTATAGGTTTGTTAATGTACACAGTATAATTGTCCTTAGCTACCCCTCTCTATCTGTTCCTCCTCTTCCTCTTGCCCATGTAGACAGGGAAGTCCCACCAGGTGAGTCAGTTCCACATCACCAACTGGGCCCCAGACGGCAGCTGTGGGAAGCTCAACAGCGTGAGCAGTGTGGTGGAGGAGATGACAAAAATACAGAGGAGAACTGGGAACCACACCATCACTGTCCACTGCAGGTTGGCCCACCAGCTATTGCAGATGTAGTATTGGTGCGACATTCTGTGTCCAGTGATACAGTGAGCAGGTCGGGGATGTTCTGTGCCATAGCCACCACCATTGAGAGGTGTAAGTCAGAGGGAGTGGTGGATGTGTTCCAGGTGGTCAAGGCTCTCCGTGTACAGAAACCTGGAGCTGTACGCACTGTGGTACGTCACCTAACACATCAACTATCCATACTGTGTTTCTGATGTGCAAATTTTTCACAGATGCAGTACAAGACTATATTTGAAGCAGTTTTGGTATTTCTGGACTCCTTTGACACTTACGCTAACTTTTAGTAGTCATAACGCAACACCATTACGTCATGTCAGTTATATTTTAGCCGACAAACCGTTATTGTATCTGCGCATGCGCCAAGCTGATATTACTCCGCCGGCCGGCGAATGTGTGTGCCTGAAACCGCCGTGAAACCGAGTTGCAGAGCGTCATCATGGATGTACTAGTTCGTGTCTTGTTAGCTGCTGTTCTGTGTTGGATGACACTGCGGGTAAAAGGTACGTTTAGCTCGCTAGCTACTGTCCGTCGTAGAGCCCAGGAGCTCGTTTTCCACGAGTAGGTATTGCCAAGGACGGCAATTTATACGCTTGTAGTTTGCTGTTCGTTTCTCTCATCTCTCCACAGGACTGACTATAACTGTGAATAATAGGCAGAACAGTATGTCCGTTTCTAATGACAATATGACGAGGATCAGTGTGTATTTCTTTGCGTTTGAGAGTTCAAATAGTAATTTCGGCAGAGCTATGAGGTGTCAGTCTGAACTCATGTTTAACGGAAATGGTGGTACTGTTGGATGTCATGTTGGTGATGGAGACACTCCAGTCAATTGTAGTTATCCAGAACCAGAGTACATAGCGTTTACTCCTAGTGATTGTTGTGTAAGGCGAGGTTGGAGTGGAAGGAGAGAAAACGAAGGTGGTCGTAGAGTACACTACTTGTGGAGAAGGATGGAAACTCCAGAGGAAGGATATATCAACTGTCATTTTCCTGATGACATTAACCCTGTATTAGGACTGTATGTCCTCTACCCCAGTGAGTAGCCATCTCTCGTGATGATATAGTGAGAGATGTTCTTGTATGATTCCTCTCCTCCAGTCACTGAGGTAACTGCAGCTATTGAGGTGGAGGCAGGAACATCGACATTCAGAGTGAGGTGTACCTCCACTGGTGGTAGAGCTCTCAACATGGCCGTCTCTGGACCTAATAGATACAACTCTGACATCAGTACCAACATACAGGCAGTTGATACTCCACTGTTTCTGAGTAATGACAGGTACACTGCCAGGACAGATGTCATGTCCAGTGGCATGGGTGGAGATGAATTCAAGTGCAATGTCACTAGTGTTGACTCAATGACTGATGTTGTAACTGTGGAAGGTAATGGACCCCAACAGTATCTTTATATTACAACTTCCTGTTTCTCTACAGTTGCTACAGCTCCAACCCTCGATTCACTGGTTCAAACAGCTCCCACTGCCGTCAGAGTGACCTGGAGTCCACCCTCTGAAACCTCAATAACTGGCTACAGAGTCCGCTACTCTCTTTCTGGTGGAAGTGTGACTATGACTGATATTATGAGCTCTACAACTAGAGACATCTCTGGTCTCACTAATGGAGAGACATACACCTTCTCAGTAGAGGTTATCACCAGTAACAGGCTACCTGGAGTATCGGAGGAGATGACTATTACACTGGGTGAGTGGTTACAACTGCAGTTTACTCTTACCATTCCCTTCCTCTCTCTCTCTAACACAGCTCCTGACACTCCTGAAGGTGTGTTGACTGCTGCAGAATCATCCTCAGTCACTGTGTCCTGGGGGGCAGTGGATGATGCTGACAGATATACTGTCACATTCTCTATGGCTCAGGGAACCAATCAGGAGGGACTATGTCTACTGACTCTCATACTGCCACTCTGACAGTGGATGTTCCCTCCACTACTGTCAGTATTGCTGTAGGAGGAGATGTGGGGTCAGCAGTGACTGATGAGTGAGAGCCT